TATAGAATAAAAGCGTAAGCGCCTCGTTTGTGAGCCGTTTTTCGGCTCTTTCTCCTCGCCAACTTCAGCGCACATGTAGTTTGGCGGTTGCAGAATGATACCCCGGTGTGCAAGTTGATGTTTCCAATGCCCCCCCGCCCACTGATTGTCAAAAAACCCTCATACTTGACCTCGGAACTCATGTGGTACTATGTGGTACTAAGGTATGCTTTGCTCCGATTGTGGTGGCTCCGGTGGCGCGACAAACCGCCGCAATCGCTTTCGTTCTCGCTGATGGGTCTTTCTGGCCCGATTCCGAGAGAATGTCCCCAGAATGTTCTCATTTCCCACTCTCCACCTACAGATTGTCGAAAAACCCTTCTTTTTGACTTCGACACTCATGTGCTACCCTGTGGTACTTAGGTAGGTACGCTGTGTCCGATTGTGGTTCGAAAGGCACAAATTTCTCTTTGTTCGAATTTGGTCATCGGTGATGGGGACATATATGACTCGCTGATGGTGACATATATGACATTTTCGCAACTCAATCCAATAAATATATTGACGGAGCGCTTGCGCTTCTCTTTGGGGTGGAGGGTGAATTTCCCGACTCAAATCCTCAGTCTCCGCAGCATGAGCTCACAAATGATGCTGGAACGCAAGCCGAAAAGAGGGCCGGCTGGTCAATATAATAACCTACAAAGAAGTTTCTCTTTTTTCCCTCCTGATTCGGAGGAAGCCCAGTCGGGCTGCCCTCCGAGACACGTCAGCCCGCCTCCTCCTAGGTCTCTCTCCTAATCTTCCGAGCAAGGCCGAGTTTTCCCTCGACCTGGCGTCTCTCGCGCATGTAAGGCTGTCTTTTGAAAGAATTAGAGAGAGTTCGGAGCGAGGAGCGAAGTTCTCGCGCTCGATTCGGGCCATCTCGACAATGCCTCCAGTAGTTTTCCGGAGTCGATCCAAAGATGACTGTTCCGATCTTATGACTTTTCACTCAGCAGCTCGACTGCATGCAGCGATTGGAACTCGCCTCTCGATTCAAGGATGGATGGTCTATCCGAAGCTAGCCGCAGACGCTACCTGGATACTCTCGGCAGTCGCGTGGGCCACACCCATCTTGCGGTCACCGTTGTGATCTCTCGCGGATTCCGCAGTACCTTGCATTAGGGCACATGAGCATCGAGTCCATGACGAGATTATAGGGAAGGCATCGCCAAAACATTCGCATCACAATCTTCTTCCTTCCCGGAAGCTGGGAAAGATTCCGCAGGGATATCTTATCGTCGCTGCTCCCGAGGAGAGCTCTGGTTGCGTATGTCCCGTCTCGTGAACCCTCGGAGAAGGTCCCGGATCATGAGCCAATCATCAGTCTGTGCGAAGCGTTGGGGGACATTGGAGTCAGTTCTCCTGTATGGAACAGGAAGAGCCAGGGCATCGACGAGCAACAAGCGATTGAGGCCGGCCTGAGGATGAATCCTGTCAAATATCCCATGCTAAATATTCTAAAACCAAAACCCACGATGTGTGACGCACAATAATCTTGTGATCTGACTTCGAGTCACTTGTAATCGTTTGTGGAAACGCGCGCTCTCCGCGCCTCCTCCGTCGCGTCCGATGGAAAGGCGCTGAAGAGACAGATCTCCTAAATCAAAATAGAAGTAGTGGCTCTCTGTTCGCCAACCGCGAATGACGTGTTCTCGGTGCGACAGGCCTAACCGACGAAGTTGCCAGTCCCAAAGAAAATTTACAAATCCCATGGGCGAGTGACGAGCTCAGAAGTCTGCTGGAGTGCAAAGTGACAGCTAGGCCGTGAAGAGGCGTTGAGCCGGAAGTTACCTAATGAAAATTCCGAGGAGAAGAGTAATGCGAAGATGTGGCATGGGAATGTCCAGTATGATAGACGGGGTAGCACAATATTGCCAGGGACCCAGGTTCGCGGTCGAGTCGATTCAGCGGAACATTTCGAACGGAAGGTCGAGGATCCCCGTAGGAATTGGGGACACTTCTGTTTCCGCGGTCGAATTAGCGAGAGGGGAAGGCCGGGATGAAATGAGACAAGACAGACGCTCTCGGTACGCCATCGCAGTACACAGTCTCAAACTTCTCGAATTTCATCTTGCGGTATGAGCCCGTTCCGACATCGGAGCGAATGGCTCCTCCTGCTCTGTTCCCCCCGTCTTCACCGTGAACCTCTGAATCCTCTCTTACCGTTCTCCCTTTACCAACTACTTCCTCACGTCCTCATCCCATTCCCCGTGGTCTTGTTCCCCCAGTTTCTTGTCCCCGCATTTTGGAACTCGCTATCGACCCGTGTTCCTGCTCTCCGCATAACCCGTTCCCCTGATTTCTCGCGCTCCCTGCCCTCTCATTTGCCTTGTTTTTCCGTCTTCCTACTCTTCAGGTTTCCCGTCTCCCTCCTCCCCGCTTCCCAATCTCCCCGTTTCTCGCCTCCTCGTGCCCCCGTTTTCCCGTCTCCGCGTTTACCCGTCTTCTCGTTTTCTAGTTCTATCTCATCCGCACCCTGGAGATCTACATGTAAGCTTACATGTGATGTACGGCTACACCGACTTTCATCGAGATTCATGGGTGGCGGTCTCCATCGCATGAAGATGGCAACCCTTGATAAGATTATGAAGCGCGAATCTTAGAAGGGATTTTCGGGATAATGAAATGTTTGAGCCTTCAATGAACATGTAGGGAAGAAGGCACCCCGCGCGGTCGCGTCAGCATCCGTCCGGGGTTTCAAGCAATGCTCCCGACCATCGTCTAAAATGCCGCGAAAGGCCTCATGACAGAATATTCTCGAATCACTTGACATATCTTGTTTCGAGTGGATCGAGGATAATTTTCTATTCCAGAATCTAGGATTCCCGAACTCGGGCGCGGGGGTCTGCTGAGCGGGAGACATATCTGATGCTTCCAGAGAAGGCTATTTCTAGCTTCCTTTTTATTTCTAGAGCATGGCCCCCTCGCTAACCTATACTATACGCTACTGCTTGCTCACGAAACCGTTCAGTGGAATTACCGATTGTCGGCGGTCGAACCAGTTCTGTCATATGTCACACGATAGCAAATTGGATTTCGATTCCGTTCAAGTCGCCCAAGATAAACTCCGTAAAACTTCTATAAGACCAATCAACGATGACGCGGATACCAATCCGACTCTCGCAAAGCGAGCAGCCTACAAGAACACTTCGTCGACTCCTAGCATGAACGCAACCTATATACGCCGTCGAGCGAGATCATTCAACATAATATTCGGATTTCGGAGGTACTATTTAGACCGCTTCAACGATTTCCGGCCATCTTCCCGCCTAGAACCGCGCAGAAATCGACTCCAGGGACTGGAACACTCGCGAGGGAGCCTTATCCATGTAGCAAAATGCGTGTAATAAGAAATCGCTTTTTCCTCAAGACGCTCATTTATGATGAATTTCAACACAGATCTATGTTACACTTTAGCCGCACTTCAGAAAACGCGGACTCCACCGATGCCGTACCCAGCACTGTAGGCGATCGGAGCGGCGATGCGAGCGGCAAAGGGAGCCGCGGCATAGGTGTGAGCGACAGGGGCGGCGTAGGCAGCGGCATAACGGGCGACAATGGGGTTGTAGCTGTCGGTACGGGAGGTGATAGCAGAAGAAGAGACGACAGGAGCGGCGGCGTAGGTGTGGGCGACGGGAGCAGCGGCGTAGGTGTGAGTAACGGGAGCAGCGTAGGCGTGAGCTACGGGGGCAGCGGCGAGGACCGGCGCGGCGACGGCGGTGTAGCCGTCAGTACGTGAAGTGATAGCGGAAGATGAAACAACGGGGGCAGCGGCGTACGCGAGGGGAGCGTGAGCAACAGGGGCGGCAAGGTATCCACCCTGAGCAACGGCCACGGCGGCGGCGAGAGCGACGAACTTGAACATTTTGTTGTTGATGTTGTGTATTCACAGGGAATGTATTTTTTGTAGTGAAGCTCCCTTTTATATTTCGATGTTCAGCCTTTCTGGGAGGGGCCACGAGCTTTCCTTCTTCTCTCCAGAGAAACTTCTGTGATCTTCTGGACATTCGATCGAGCACTCGGGGCTCTTTCGCGGTGAGTCGCCACCCGTTTCTTCCAGCTGAGGAAAGGGTTCCTCTCAAGAGGTTTCGGGTGGTCTTCCGAAATAAGTTGATGATATGTCGGGGTATTGGATCCCTGGTTGGTTTTTCGATTTGGCGTGACGTAGTACTAAAAAGAGTATTCGCGGTCTGCCATATCGATAGATATACGATAATTTTCTGGTGGAGGTGGTCCTGGCCACATTCGAAATCAATCAATTGTAGGATCAGCTCGAAGACTAATGTAAGAGGGAAGTCGAATATCACCTCAATATCTTTATGTCAGTCTCTGTCGATTTTGCTCGATAGGCTGAATGAGCAGTGCTGGATCTTAGGTTGATATCGAATCATCGATGGTCTGTACACGGACAGGGCAAATGAGAACTACGGGCGGGACATGAGGTCAAACATTGCGTAGAGCAACGGAAAGTCCTTCTGAGCGGGCTGGTACTCGAAGGGTTCGCCAGGTATGAGACATTTCCCGTCATAGCACGAGCCAGGAGTCCCGATGTAGTTTAGCTGTAAAAAGAGACGTCGACGTGCGGGCGTTAGTTTGGCTGGGGCACTAGCACCGTGGGCGCTTCAAGACGACGACCGTGAAAGTCACAAATCCCTCCGAGCTCGATCGTATAGAACTAGGCGTCTTTTCATCTCATGATTCGGGAATGGTAAATAACGTGGAACCAGCTGAATCGTCCGCGGGAAGCACTGAAAATCGGGTGAATAAATCATGGGGTTCGGCTACCAACCTTGAGATAACATGGTCCACCATCTGGGATGGCGACGTCAGGCCTACCGTAGACGCAAAGAATGCTGCAATTCGTATCCCAATACGGCGTAGATGTACCACTGAGCTCTTTGATATCTGGGTACGTTTCTTGACAGATCCGGACCTGGCGTTTACAGTTGAGTGATATAGAAACATGATTCAATTCATTCAGATAGAAATTTCATTTATGGAATTCTGCAGCTCACCATGGTATCCCGGAAAGCTCTGTTAGCGATGGGTGCAGAGAATACCGTGCCCGCTTCGGGACTCAATCCCGTCTGCTCACTGTTTGCCCTCACAGACACCTCGGTGGTGGGCGACGGGATGGTGGTATTTGAATCCGTCGCTCCGGTCATTGAGGAATTGATTTTTTGCGGTCCAAACATCTCGATATTGTCTCGGTTGAGTGGTACACCGAGCACCCCAACTGCGTGAGTGAATGATGACATCATGTACACGCCGCGCTAATCTTCTTGAGTTCAGCAATCACCGTTTGAGCTGGATGGCTCGACGGAAACCTCTCCTCGTAGAGTCTGTTCGTGAGGATAGACTGAAATTGAGACTCACCGAGTACAAACAGGACGAGCAACACTGAGACCGCATGAAGCGGAACGTGAACCGCGCACATATCGGAGCGACTGGGATCTCCTGACTGTCAACGACTGTTCATTCAAGAGTCGGCGTAACTGAAGGGACTGTCGCTGCCGTCGGTAGAGCGGGATTTCCCAGTCGGTCCCTGGAAAGAGAACGCGTCATCCGGAAATGAAGCCTCATTACGGTCGTCATCTCACAATGGAGATACCAGCTCCTTCTAAATCGACGAAAAACGGAATTCTGGACTGCGCACTCGGTCCGCGCTTTACAAATTGCCAAAACACTCAAGCATGGATCGCCAGCCACATTAGCTTTTGAGCGCAGCGCTCCCCTATTGAGGTTCAGAGAGTAAAATTAGATGACGACCGCAGGGTGCCAGGAGGCATATCCGGTCCGTCAGATACACCAGGACATGGTATAGCTCGCCAATGAATGAATGGATTATTCGTAGGCCGCGTCCTGGCCTGCGAGACATGATTCTTCGAAATTTTGACTGGGTCAGATCAGACTAACTGATCGGACTGTCGATGAAAGCGAAGAATGATCAGAAGAGTGTGCCCTTCCTTTCGGACAACGGTTTTGCATTCTGACGGGGCCCGCTGTCCAATCGCGGGAGCTCCAGGAGGCCCTCGAATCGGGGGAAAAAATCAACGAATATTCCGAACTCCAGATGATCCAGGATCTCAAAAATTGCTTTTCAATATTTTTCAGTCGCTCTTTATTCGCTCGTCATAGTTTCTTTGACATTAAGCACTCCTGTTGAAGCTGAACTAGGATCTTTGAGACAGCGAGTGATGGATCGCATGAGGTGCCGGTACGGGGGCTCAGCGCCTTATGAATCGGACGTATTTCCGTGAAGGAAGCTCTTCAGCGATCATCGTACGCCAAAAGTGAAATTCATTTTTCTGGGATTTAGACGTGATATCCGAGAGGGTACCTAGATACATTCCAATTCGATCGTAAGTTGTCGAGCGTCACGAAAGAAGGACACCGCCCATTTGAAGCGATAGACGCAAGCCTTCGTTCCCGTCGTGATTAGTGCTGCTCAAGAGTCCGCTGCAATGAAACATCAGTAGGAGTTGGTTGACAGCGATTTTTTCCATAAAAACACCGGAATTCCATCTCATTATCGGAGCTCAGACATGTCGAAATGCTTCAGAATCATTGCTTACATCCATCCCTTCGAATCAACGGTTCGGAATCAGTCTTCCCTGAAGATAAATTATGCGCCCCAGAAAAAATTGGAGACGGTCAATGAATGGTTTCCAAAAAGGACGCGGGCGAGAAAATTAGAAAGCATTGACGTCGGAGAATTTCTGTTCCGCCTGTGGAGTGGGCTCTGAATGCGAGGAGCATTGTTGTCGTTGTTCCTCCTGGAGAATTCGGCTCTACTTTTTCGGCTCGGGACCAGCTCCGAAACTCGCTGCTGGCAGTCGGCCACCGGTTCGCCGCGGTTCAGGGACGTTCATATCGTGCCCGAGCAGCGTCTGTCCGAAATCGCAACGAGATCGAAACAAATGCCAGAAGAAACGAGTGAACGCCCTGACAGGGGAGGAAAGGTAGAAGAAAGATACAGCGATCAAACACCCCTCAGCCGTTCTCTCAGGAGTCCCACAGCGGCTTCGGAAACTGATAACCCATACGTTCGTTTTTTCGCCCTCACTGCCGCCTGCGCGGGGCTCAGGACGGTCACATCGCCGCCCCTTTTGCTCTCAGTCCCGACACCGCGTACGCTACCGCCCTAAACGTCCCTTCCTCTGCAATGGCAGGTCGTGCTGATGCCTAATGCGTACATCTCCATCGCTACCACCGCCCCTGCTGTCTACGGCTGTGTCGCCTTCCCCGTCCTTCTTCTCCCCACACTGACAGCTACAGTCCCGTAAGAGCCCTCCTACCGGAATCGCCGTTCCTTACGCTGCGCTGCCCCTATCACTCACGCCCATGCATGCCGCCCCAAAGGCTACCCCTCTCACATCCTCTACAGCGCAGGCCACGGTATCGGCGGACTATGCCTCCTCCAACCGACTTTGCAATACAAGTATCACTTCTTCTTGTGCAGTCTAGGTGAAGCACCTTTCCCTGAGTAAATCTCAGCCACGTCTTCCCAGTCCCACCAGCAAGTGGTTTGGAGACTTTAATGAGATAATGAATTGTGATTGCGCCGGCCCAGCTCCCCGAGATTTTCGATATCTCAGCGTCAGGATCATACTCATATTGTCAAGAGCGGTCGCAGTAGCGCACCGGCAGAGTCAGCATCGTCCCTCCTCTCGATACGTATCGGAATAACAGGTTCCCAGGGGAGAGGGGAGCTATGGGCTGCGTGGAACGGGTATCTCGTCGCGGATTAGGAAGCTCGAAGGTTCCGGCTACGATTCTCCATATGGACATGAGTGCTCGTTGGACGTTTCTTCTCATTTTTAAACGGAATCCTGTTTGTGAAGAATCGTATCATTCAGACACAAGCTTCATCCTGGCGAAATCCCCGGATTTTTCTGTAGATCGTCAATGAGTGAGCAGCCCTCACGTTCCGGAATGGCAGTGCTTGGAACCGGGGACGCTATCCCGGCTCGAAATCTGATTGATTGCGCTCAGGACAGAACAATCCTGCTGGAATTCTCATCAGAACGAGCGTCTACGGGGCCGAAGGACGCAGAAAGTTTTTTCCCGCTTCAAAGATGACATCCACTGCGAAATAATTCAGAATTTGTTCTCGATATATGTACATGTCGCGCTGTAATGATTCTTCGTCAAACTTTCGCGTGATTTCTGACGCTGCTCTTCGGCAGAGCCAGTAGCACGCAGAAGGCCGTTACTTATCGACGTCATAACGGAAAACGGGCATGGCGGCACGACGCTTGAGACCTCCTGGAATGGCGCCAGTTGAAGACGGATCGCAGGGGATACAAGAGAAAGTGCGACCCGAAGAACACCCACCGATTGAGAAGAGCTTCCGATTATTCGTCACGAGTCCTTGGCTGCGGGCGAGCTTTCCGAGCTCTCATGCCATCGGCCGAATCGGAAATCTCATCACAGCTCACCTGGAGCATTCGAGCATCGAATGTGATCTCTGAGGCATGCTCCTTTGACAGTCGGTCCCTATCTCAGGACGGGTTCTTCCGGGGAGAACAAATAAGAATTCATTGGGAAATTCCGAGGTGAAGGACAAGCCGAGAGAACAGAAAGCCCTTCCGAGCGGGTCTGCGCAGCTTCCTCTAAAGGAGCAACTAAGCGTTCGAGTTACGTGTCAGTTGAAAACGCAGCCGGATTCCGGAGGCGCCAGGTGACCATGAAGCATTTCCTCCCTGATCTGATAATCGGTCAATATTCCCTGAAGAGATCTCAAGTATAGCAGACCTCCATTAGGAGCCTCCATTTCGGGATTAATGAAGGTTTCCGCGTCTCTTGCTGAGGGAGCATAGAGACCTTTAGGATTTCGATTCTTTTCCTGGGGTTGGAAAGATC